GATGTATATATACTTCTTGTTCTTGGATCTGGCATCCGCCAGTTGAATGTGTGTTAGACTTGAATAAACTTGGCAGTTTAGAAACCTGATTTGTAGTGTTCATGTATCTTGATGTTATGTGTGATTCGAATTAGTGTTTTTTGAACTAAGATATCTTGAAATTCTTGACAGTTAATATAATATTTTATAAATATAAAAAAATAAGCCTCTTTGTGCGTAATATAAAGATTGAAGGCTCTGAGAATTTTTTTAAAGTTTTTTTTTTTATTTTTTTTTATTTTTTACAATTGACGTAAATACTAGTCATTAACAAATATATTTTCACTTCTGGCGGTAACGCAAAATTAAATTACCACTTTCAACATATTGTAGATAGACAGACAGATCTTTACATTTTATGTTATACAAAGATCTATATCTCAAATAAAGGTAGTAAGTGTTTGCTTTGTAATTTTTTAATAATAAAAAAATAACAAACGTATATTTGATATCTTTGGCAGTCTTCACATTAACTTAGGTATGCATAATTGGGCAATGATTACTACACTACTTTCATAAAACTACTGTAAATATCGAACGATCTTCCCAATTTCATCCCTTAATTTTGTAGCAAGAACAAAGAATGAACTGACTTCTGTTCGTTATTAAGAACGTTTATTTACTATAAAATCCAATATCAATTTCGATAGCAAATGAGAAATCATGCGACAATTTAATTTTCAGATCTGCTGATATTAGCTATTTTTTCGTTATATATGTTTCTAATAATAAGCTTTTGATTTAAAATTGGGTTCATATCTATACATCTTTTTGATTTTCATTTTAAAGTGCCTGGCAAAGTAATCATAGCCATATGAGAGCGAACAATGTTAATTCGGTTTTACATTTGTTTTTCCATTTTGTATTATTCTCACTATTATACTCAAATTTTAATATCCATCTCAAACGATATTAGATATTTACTTCTGTCATTGCTTTTAACATCTTTCCATTTGTTTTTCACTTTGTGCATTTTTAATGATTCCTGTAATTCAAATTTTGTATCAGTAGTTATTTCTAGTGTACCAATTTTGTTTTCTGCTTAGATTTGGCACGGAATTTGGGGAAGTATCTTTAGATCAAGGAAACTTGGAGAAACAGTTTCATTAATTTTCATTGAATAGCATACATAGATAAAGCACATGAAGGAGTATTTACTAAAATAAGGCACAACGCGTGCATCATTATCAAGAACAACAATTACTATCCAAATCAGGAAGCCATAAAAAAGTTCTCTTCCTAAATATCAGATTCTCAAATATCCAATAAATTTCAACATGGAAGATGTCTATGGATTATATAATGTATAGCCGCAACAAAATGTTTTCCAGACAAAAGAAAGTTTTGAAAAATTTGGATTATCCTTTTTATTGGACCAAAATTTCGAAATTTTCCTTTCCTGTAAACTAAATGTTAAGAAAATTCCGACACCAAGAAGGACTTGAGCTATATACACGAAATTCAGTAAAGGTTTTCATGCATCTGAAGGATTACGTCTTTTGAAATTCCGCGAGAGGCGCGTGGCGCTAGCCATTGTAAACATTCAAATCAAGTTACCTTTAAAATACGCGCTGTAAAGATTTATCATTGTGATTTAACGTAGTGAGTTGATGCTAGTCAAGAATGCCTTTAAGAAGGCGAAAAACCCATTATCAATAGCTTAATGAGTTTTAACAAGGACGTGCAATAGGGATACGAGAAGGTGGATTTTTCTTTCTGAGCGATACTCTAGAAAGACTAAGACTGCAGTTGGTACCACAGTGACCCAACAAATTGTTACGAATCGATTACGTGAAGGTCATCTCCGAGCTGGATGCCCTGATTGTGCATACAACTGACTCCGAACCTCTGCCTTTTGCGAAGCCTGTGGCGCCAAGGCTTCGCAAAGAGGGCTTCGAAATCTCACTGGAGGACCCGGAGGGAAGATCTGATGTGTTTTCTCTTAAAAGACGGGTCTGCCTTGGTGTCAGTGAGGGCCGTTTGCTAGTTAGAAGAAGGCCAAATGAGCGCCTTAAACAACCTCTGCGGCTTAGACACACTAGACCTACACCTGGAGATATGATCTGCAGAGAAATTTCATATCACAGCAGGAGCACTCTTGAGGTTATGCCACGGAGTCTGATTACAAATGTGTGCGTCAGTCTGGTACTTCAAACTGTTTTACTGCCATTCAAAAACAGCATTCAAAGTGATGTTTTCGACAGGATAACGCTCACCTTCGTGCCGCTGTTGTAACCCAAAATTCTCTACAGAGCCTTGGCCTCTTGATTACCAGATATTTTTATAATAGATTACGAATGGCAAATACTGGGATGACATTTCCAAGGTCATTCACAACCAGCATTAACCGTACCTTTATTAACCGACCAAGTGCAGCAAGCATGCAACTCCATCCCACAGACTGACAACCGACTTTTGTTGGACACAGTGCATGCTTACACTCAAAATTCTCATGGTTACATATGTTGCTTTTGTACCAGCATTTCACATTTCTCGAGCTTCATAAATCTTCTTCTCGAGCTTGCATTAACCTGTGATCTTGAAATTCTAATTAATTAAATATGTTACCTAGACAAATGTATTGCCGAAATTTCATTACTCAGGATTAATTGTTTCTTGGTGCAGGGATTTTTTTCCGTTAGTGTATTTATCTAGATACTGACAGATAATTATTTCTTTGAATGGTCGCTATTCAAGTACTGCTTCTTCAGTATTCCTTACAATATGAAATACATACGCTGATATTTTCCAATTTTTACCTCGTTTTCAAATTCCTTCACGAGCAAAATTGTAGAATTTCGCAATTTCCCATACGGTACCAAATGCAGATTTGGATGAAATTTATTCTTGGAAGACTTTGGCTTCATCCATTCGGTAATTTTGGAACATTCTTCAACTATGAATAATATAGAAAGTTTACGATTTTGTTTCGCCTCGCAGATGAATTTTTAACAAAGAAGAATTTCACTATTATGCAGTGAAAAGAGTTACATCACAGTATATACAAAGTTAATCCCTTTTAGAAAAGATGTACAAGGTATTTTCTCCCTCTTTTTTGCCTACCTTCGTGGTGCTACAGTAGCACATTCGGCACGTAATCGAGAGGTCCAAGTTTCAAAATAATCTACTGGCTCTACAGTGGTCACAAACGGAGGGGTGGTGGAAAATATTTCGCCACCACCAGGATTTGACGACTGGGTTCTCTAATACCCAGTCGTCCTTTAAAAGGGGGAGTATATAAGGTATTTTCTTCCTCCTTCCAGTGTGCCTTCCTGGTGTAACAATAACACACTCGGCGCATATTCAAGAGATCTAATATTCTAATTCAAGAGATCTAAAATAAGCACTGCTTATTTTTCATGTTTCCTGATTCAAAATAATCTAATGATTCTAAAGATGAAAATTAAGAAAATTTCGCAGTAATCTTACCTGTTCAAAGTTCAGTTCGAATGCATTCATCTATTCAAAGATAAAAATAACTGCAAAGCAAATATGCGATAGCTTTTACAGAAATATCCTAAATCTTGCAAAAGATCTAAAGAACCCAAAATTTCCTATGCAAGAGAAAGAACTTCGGGACCGTTTTAAATACTGTAACAACCAAGTGTAAAACATGTTCATTTCTAAGAAGAAAAATGACCTATTCTCACCAAGCTCATAAGCTTCACCATTTTCACATAGAACCGAGTAACATCATTAGCCTTAAACAGAGTTCTGTTTGACAACTCAGTCAAGAACTTGAATGAAATCAGACTACTCCTTCAAGTTCTTTTGTCTAATGGTCACGTATCGTGTCTTAAGATATGCTTCTTCAGTGTAAAAACCTGTGTCGAATAGTCTTTATTTAGGAAACATAAGAAAGGTGGTGATGAAATCAAAAGCATAAAGACGTAGAAATGTTTTTTTCATGCGCATATTGATGACATATCGCCTAAAATCTTAAACATGGATGATTTTACGAATTAATCATTTTTAGCTAAAACGTGCAGAATGGTTTTAAAGAATTATGAAAGCGAAAACAAATTTTTCGGGCTAAATTATCGATGAAGTTCATTCCATCATCTCCTCATACATCTGGATTTTCGCTATAATCGAGTACGGTAACATGAAGTGAAAGAAACTGAACGGTATCAAAATATTCGTTTGGTATATCCAGGAATTTGGTATTAAACGGTTTTACTTTAATAACAAACTGAGAAATGTAGATACTTCATAAAGAAGTGAACATTTTACACGGCTGCCCTCTTTCATATAAATTCATAACATTTCAGTAAATCTTAGAATAACTTCCCAATTTATCTTTATTGATCTCTTTTCAGATGGGTGTTTTATTACTGCATTTTCACAAATTTTACCACTTTAAAAAACCTAATGACTGTACTAATGGCGCCAGAACTAAAAGGGGGCGGGACAAAAATTCGACCCCACCGGGATTTGGCCAATAGGTACCCGGATACCCAGTCGCTGTTTAAAAGTGGGAGTATATAAGGCATGTTCTCCCTCCTTCCAACATGGCTTCGTGGTGCAATGGTAGCACACACGGCGTGTATGCGGCAAGGCACAAAAAACCTAAGAATGTTTTATAATTTGTATGTAATATTTATATTTTCCCTTTTCTATATGTCCACTAACAAAGGCATCTCGAGAGTTCATCTTTTCTTAGAGAACGCGATTACGAAATTCTTGATCTGGATTTCTGTTATCCTTTCTGTACAAATAAAAAGAGCTGAAGATGTAATTTATTAAAGTGTTTTTCATGCATATTTAATAAAACACCCGAGTTAGAGAATCTAATATCACTCATTGTATTCTTTACACAGTGTATCTGTGTAAAGAATACGATGTAATGAGAATGTAAAGAAGTATTCTTTACACAGTGTATTGGCAGCAGTATCTTTATTAAGACCCCTTACTTTGAAACTACAATAAAACAACGCAACCCTGACACTTGCTCTGTCTTCATGAGCGAGTTAATTGGGATTAATGTGGGGCTTGATGCTATCTTGTTTTATGATTGTGATTTTGAGAAACTGGATTTAACGGACAGCCGCAGTGCACTACAACATCTTGGTGGCTGGTCGTCCGCATGCGATGAAAGCAGCATATCTATTCTGCTAAAACTGAGGAAGATCTCTCAGACCCACGAAGTCCACCTCCAGTGGCTCCCATCACATGTTAATGTTTGTGGTAATGAGGTCGCTGATAAATTGGTAAAAGAGGGTAGTAAAAATGAAACGATCACTGGCTCCTTACGGATTTACCAAGAACTTCACTCAAATGAAAGATCGAAACTTAATATAATGTGGCATATTTCACCTACTCACCAATGGTACGCAAGGACATCTTCTGGCTCCCTACTGGAAATCAAATGTGACCGTGTCTCCCAGATCGCCCTGGCTAGACTAACAAGTGGCCACCTTAAATGCCTTTCCTTTCATAGTGGCACAAATATCCATCCCGATTGTAAAAAATGCTGTGACCATCCAGCTTCACCGGATCACATACTGGGTTGCATCGGACTTTTTAGATAACATCCGATTCCGTCACTGTTATTGACTTTTGGCGGTCAACAGCCAAAAGATCTGGCTCCAGAAGATCTTTCGATGTCAGATCTTTGAAGGATAAGCAACAACAATACAGTGCTGTTTAGTAGGAAAAATTTGAATGGAACTTAACTATAAAATGATTGAGTATTTGCAAAGAAATCTAAAAATATTGGATAATATTGAATTCCATAACATTCGTAAAAGGTAACCAGACTATTGTTAGAAAGTTTTGGCATCCAAAAAGTATTGAATAAATTTTTATTCGAAACATTGAGATAAATTTCTTGACGAACTAGGCGTAATGTCTGCCCTTATTTTATTCTAATTAAATTAAATGAAATTGTAATCTTTATTCAGATATGCTGCAATCGATATATCTAAGTGTCTGAAGTGTAGTTCGAAAGTTTTAACTGCAACTGAGAACAAGAAAGTTCATCATTAAAATAAGCCTCTAATATATTCCGAAAGGAATCCTTTAAAAGGCTTATATCTTGAATATAAACATAATGATTGGTATAATTTGCTCACTAAGTTCATAAGGACCTCGCCATGCTATAACATTTCGAATAGCTGTAACATTTGATAATATTTCAAAATGTTACGTCAGAAAGAACGACATTAGAATGATTGTTTAACCTAATTGCAAGTTTCCTGGGGTAGAATTTCTATTAATGTATGACGAGGTTCGTTCATACAAGGCATGAATTTTAGTGCGTTATTCTTAAAATTAATTTCGGTTTGTGATAAATATTTTAGCGTTTCTCGCGGTATTAAGGTAACTTTATTGAATGCTTTAAATTTCAGTAAAAATGTGTTGAAGCCAAATTATTATACTTCCTAAACTTTTATAATCTCTGGAGGATTCTGTGAGGAAATGGTGTTTAACTGCAACGCCAGTCTTCCAAACTTTTCCAACTATTTTAAAAAGTAATTTAATTTACTTTTCCTTGTGAGGCGATGGGTATATATTACAGGGTATAAGTATTAATAATATAAATTTCTTTGTGAGGCGATGTCTATCTATTACTGGGTACAAATATTAATAGTACAAATTACCTTGTGAGGTGATGTGTTTATACTATTGGGTATATCTATTAATAACTTAAATTCAGTATGTTTATTTTATTGTTTCAAAAATGGCCTTACTGCTTTCAGAAATCTATTGTAGCTAATATGTACTGCATGCATTAAAAGGTAATAAACCAATAATTATTTAGTCGAGTCGTATTAAAATCATACCATATATGAAAATTCATTTTTAGTCCAAAGGGGCTTTGTTCCCGAAAGACTATTGTTTTTCTTTTGTGATTTTGCGTTGAATCACTATAAATGTCCGTTTTACTTTTCATATTGTTGCCAACAATTGTTAGAGTCCTGCATTATATTTGAAGAAATTAAATAATGAAAAATCTGCATAAATGTACGTATATTTCTCGCATTGTGATAAAACAGCGGTCCATAGAGCCGTCGAATTTTGAATGACGTAATCCCACTGCGAACATGGCGATGTGGAAGCCCAAATTTGAAATTTTGAATTTGTTTTATTATCGATTTCATATTTTGTAAAACTTTAGCGAATTTTTGAGTAACAAACTCAATGATTTAAAAGCGAGCAATGGGGGAAAAAACCTTTTTATCTCCAGCGCGGGTCTGTGTATTGGAAATTCTAAAGATATGCTCATTTTAAAATTATTTTGCGACATTGCTATTGAATTGAATTTTATGGTTTAAGTGCAAACATAATAAATAAAGGTAACACACAGAACGTTAAAAAAAAAAAAAACTCCCCTTCGGACTTCATTTAAAATCTTGAGACCCTTCAATTTTGTTTTTATTGTTATTTTTATATTATTGCTTTGTAACTTAATTCGGAGTTTTAATACAATTATTCTTTAAATTTACACCTATTACTATTTTGTTCATCGATCTTTTGTTGCTGTAATGCATTCTTAATAACAATGGTGTATACAATTAATTCTTAATACAGGTGTATATATGTATATATTATGTGTAATATAACGGAGTAAGGACACATGTGTTAAGTCATCGGCTAAGTTCTATGTTGCCACTCTGCAAAGAGTAAGAGTTTTACGTTTCAAATTTAATTAGACAATTAGCTGATATATAAGACGAATGCCGCAATTTGCAATATATTTGCTTAATAAACAAAATCAGCAATCTAGTAGAAGTGTGCTGTCACTGCCCGAATTAAAATGTTTAATATTACACGTGGCAGTATTTTGTCGTTCAGGAAAGAGTAAGATATGAATTTTTCTTTTATGAATTCTGTTTTAATTACCAAATTAACGATTTAAAAGCAAAAAACGCAGATTCATTTTAATTATTAATAATTACTAGTGAAACTATACTAGTACGATTCATTAAAATTATCTATATATATATATATACATACATCTTAAGTTCATGTCGCTGTTGTTGCTTTCCCCCTGCCAGTTCTTACTAAAATTGTGAGATGGAATCATCTTCATTTATTCTTTAAAAGTGGGTAGAACTTTCCAGAACAATGAAGAGCCTTTAAAACAAAGTTTAAGTCTATCAGATTTTTGCAACTATTTCGAAAATGGTAAAGAACTCAACCAAATAGGATGATGTATTTTTAAAACTTCATTTGTAATAACCGAAAACAAAACGAGTACCAATTATTACTAAAAGGCATAACCGATAACATAACAGGTACCAATTATTACTAAAAGTGTTATATGGCCCCGTAATAGTCCAGACCTTCTTCAACAGGTCTTCCACCCCCTTCTCTTCCACCAAATCGCACGAGGAGGACATTCGGCTCGCGGTATATTTAGAACATCGCCATGCCGCAACGATACCGTACATTTACAAATACCCATACTTTCTCCCGGATTCGAACCAGGGCCGTTTGGTAGGGCAGTTAGCGACGCTAACCACTATACCGGTTGAACGGCTCTGCCAATTATTTTGAAAGATAATGATATTAATGCAATAGTGGCTTCCTCAAGACAAAGTCTTAGAGTTGACTCTGTAATTGTGCAAAGACTAACAGAAATCATCTTTTTCTTTTTTGTCTCTCTTAATGGTAAGAAATGAAACCTAGTTCCGGCGTCTGTTGCTTTGAATAGTGTACTGCTTTCATGTTTATCAGTAAATTCAAGCGATAGTTACTTGAAATAAATAAAGTTGTTAACATTTGCATTTAAATGATCTCATTAGCTATAATGTAATACATAAATGTTACCTGTTATGAATCAAAATTCTCCAATAGAAAACAAAAGTGATCGTTCGTCTGCTTAAAACTATTTATAAATTTAAAAAATGCTAATGTGTACACCACATGACTTCCTTGTACGGAATATTAAATTATATGTATTTTTTCTTGCATTTCATTTAAACTCATTGGATTGAATTACATTTACTTCTTCGATAGCGCATAAACGACAATTGAATAAATGCACTCTTTAAAATCCACTATATTTGTTTTCCATAGATACAATCTGGCACTAGGTACACTTAACAGCGGTATATTTAATTCATTTTTTAAAACCTCAACTTCAACTTATAAACATGTCGCCGGAACTATTAAATAAAAGTGTAATTTGCCGGCTCAGTGAGAATGAAACTTAAAACGCGCATGACGATAAGAGTTTCCTGGGATGGCAATCTCTCTAAGGACAAACGGAGGCAACGAGCAGAAAAAAGAGGGGCCTTGAAGCCTGAAATCAGAAAAGCGGTCTGACTGATGAAGAAGCTAAAACGATGTATAAAAGAAATTAAGCAAACAACAACAACAACAAAAAAAAAAAAAAAAAAAAAAAAAAAAAACAGTTTTTTACAGTCGATTCAGAATTTCTAATTCAATTAATTCAGTTTTCACTTCGCGACAAGGCAAAAATACATAAAAAATCAAAATATCTGTATTGAAAATTACGAAGTAAATCTTAAACACATATTTCCTCGAATAAATTCCGGAATGGATTAAGCATGATTTAATTCGCAATAATGAAAGAAGGCGTTATCTTTGTTCTTGCGAAGCTTACTTTCTCTAGATTGGCAACAAATATACTATTCTGCTGTTTCAAATGTAAACAAACATGGCCGCCATGGTAAAAATAATTAGGCTTAGCGGCACTTAAACAACTTTTAAATTGTTGATAATTCTAAAAACATTGCAGGCAGGTTTATTAAAGGCATATAACCCTTAACTGGAAGATAAGAACAACATATTTCAATCATTTTTAAAGCAAAAAATGCACAATTAACAAACATTAAGAATAAAGAAACTGATATTACTGAGCCAAGTAATAGAGTGGCTATGTATATATACATACATTTTTTATATTTTTGGTGCGGCTGATTTCAACCAAAGTACCAGGTACACATCTACATGTTATAGCAATCGTATATACAAAATTTCAACGTTTTGCGGCTACTCGTTTTTGAGTTATGCGAGATACGTACGTACATACATACATACGTACTCACAGACGCCACGAAAAGTTCTCTTCAGAATTCATTTTAAATCAATTTTATAATTTTTCTGGGGGAAAAGAGTCCTTTATTCTGTCCTTACGTACAGATGTCACACAAAATCATCGTTATATTAGCGGTCAAAATGGATATTTTCGCTGAAATATGATACCTGAAATTTTTCGCGATTACAATACTTCCCTTTTACTTCGCACAAGGGTGTAAAAATCTTAAAACAATTCATCTGATGGTAACTCAGTATGCTAACTATATGCTAACGTATGTTATATAACCACGAAACATTTTCAAGCCGGGTGAAACAAGAGGAAAAAAATCAATAAATAATTAAACAATTATTTCTAAAGCAACATCCAGCTAACTAGTCTAAAGTGATAATTTTAAGAATATTTATCTGAAAGAAACTCCAAAAAGAATTGTTCTCTAAAATTTTCCTTTAACCGGGAGGTTAATCATGCGATTCAAAGCAGAATTGGTTTCTTTAAAATACAGATGCATTTTTTATTTGA